GCATCATTAGATTGCTCTCAAATTCATGCATAATATGTGCTTAATTGTATTTTAGTATACTACCTAGCTATCACAGATATATGTAGATGATTGAAGGGCATTATTGTAGTGTACCCAAATCCTTGTGAATGATTATGCATCTAGCTACGTTTCAGGTTCACGTGTTGTCGTTCATATGCCAATCGTATTCCAATGCCAATTGTTAGCTTATATCAATTGTTATGATTGATTGATTGATCGACGGGCGACTTCTCTATCTCGGTTTCGTCATGATTGTTGTTGCTCATCTGCCAATCGGCAATTAATTAAAATGCGCAATTTCTGTTTCGGCCAGGTGCTGGCATTGGCATCAGCTTAAGCACGTGTCGCATTGCCAGCGCCCAGGTAGTTGCCTCGTATTTCCCATTGTTGTTGGCGATGGACGACATCGTCATTGCTGTTGTTGGTAAGGTGATTGACGGCGTAGCTGGCGTTGATGGCCCCGCCGAATGGAACTACACATGAAAGGAAACAATGATGGAACAACTACCACAATGGCAATGCTAACAAACAACGCCCACGGTATGACAGCAGTACATAACAACAACAACAAGAACAACACTAGCTGTAACAGCAACAACAACAACGACAATGTCCAAACACAGCGGCCACACACAAAAAGATGAAGAGCACGTAAAATGGCGCCGGATGTTGATTGACTTTTGTTGAACAATTTTTCGCATACGGAAGTTTGATAAACAGCAAATGGCGTTGTTTTGCCCTTCGCTTTATGTGTGCACACACACACACACACACACACACACACACGAACACCCTTGACTGCTTAGCAAGACATCAACTCAAGCTGAGATTTGAGGTGTCATCGTTTGGTTGTTGCCCCGTTGTTTGGCTTTTGATTAGGGTTAGCTAACCCGCTCCATACGCTCCCTTAAGCTTCTGGCATAATTATATATAATAAGCCGTAAGCCGTCAACGCATGTTCGCTGTTGACTTTTACGACTGTTTATCCGTGAAGCTAGACCGAGTCTGTGTGCGGCTTACTCAAACATATGTCAAGTGTGTATACATATAAGTATAAACTGATTTTCCTAGTAAACATTTACAGTTTGTAAGTTTATTTAGTTTACTTTACATATGTATAAATATCTTTTCTTCATTTTAACCAGAGTACAATTGCAGTTGGCTCTCAGGCACGCTTGCGGCAACGTCTACCGAACAGCTCCCAGCCCCACCAGCAGCGTCGCGGCGAGTCCATCAGCAGCTCCCCGGTCATCGTTAGCTCATCCTCGAGTATGTTCAAGCAGCTGGTTTGCTCATATTGCTGCAGCTGCAGGCGTTGCAATGCACGGCAATAGGCCAGCTTGTCGGGCTGTCTCTGAAGCTCCAGTTCCAGCTCCGACTCTGGCCAGTCATTGGCCTCCTCCAGCCGGACGCCAGTGATGAGCAACTGCAATCCCAGCAGCAGAAAGCATGCCTTGGTGCTCCGCATCCGCATCGTTCGACTGCGTGGCAACCACTGAGCCTCAGTGCCGCGTTGACTAAGCGCAACTGCAACTGGAAGTGCAACTGGAACTGCAGCTGCAGCTGCAGTCGCTCAACAGCTGTTTCTTGCCCATTTGTTTTGCATTAGGTAATTTGGATGCATTCAATTACACAAGGCTATCAACTGCCTGAAATGAGAGCTAAGGCACCACTCATAGCACTCTTTTGAAATGCGCTTTGCCCATTGTCGCAAGCTCACGAATTTTTCTGGGTTCCTGTTCCCCGTTCTTCCGCATCTAAAAGTCCAGCTACAATTACACACAATATATATCCACATATATATCTAAATATAGGACCAACAAATGCTAAAGAAATGTAGCTAAATGCCTGTGCAGGAGTGCTCGGCTAGAAGATACCTTAAGCTGCATTTATTTCTGTGGGGAATGAATAAAAATATGCTTTAATTCAAGTAAGAATTAGTTTCACAAATTAAATTCAATCTAAGAAATTCAATTCGAATTGTTATTCAGTTGCTCATGAACGCTTCAGTTTTGTTCATTGGTTGTTTGGTTGTTTGAATGATTGGTAATCCAAGTGAATAAAAGATTACCGATTGATAAGCGATTTAAAAACTGATCAAGCAGAATTAAAATATACTTACATATGAGCCACTAAACAAGGACTTACACCGGTCACGGGCTAAGCTAAATTCAACCAGTTCAAAGAGTATTGCAAATGAACCACTGAGATAATTCGTCAATCAGAACTAGCTCATATTAATCTGTTGTATTGACTGATCAATAAATGAGTTCGATTGGACAAGCTCAAATTAATTTCACAAGATTCACTGAACTTGCTCCATGGAACAAGTTGTTATTGATCTCTTGTACAAAATAACTGATCTTCAATCGAACAAATTCATTAATCTCACATGACACACTGAAGATCTCACATTTAAAGATCATCAACACATTCCGAAAATGCATACTTTAGATACATACTATTTCCAAATAAATACAAATTCATTAGTTTTAGCCATAATTCGATTTTTTATTGATGGCAATCATCGCGTTTTGCTCAATTCGCTTTATCCACTCTTTCTTTCGCCTCGTCTACCACTCGCATTATGCTAAAATATGTAAAGCGTCTCTTCGCTGGCACTTTTTGCTCAATTCGCCAGAAAATTGAGAAGGAAATCAACTTGACTTTGTGAATTCGTGGAAAAGCAAGCTATTTGGTGGTCGCCTTATCACTGTGTGTGTTAGATAAGTTAGCTGTGTGTTAGCTAGCTAGCAAGCCAGTTGAACAGTAGATAAGTGAAAGATAAGTTTAATTGAAAATTGGTTAGCATGTAGTAGAACATAATTGAATTAAATAAAATTAAAAAACTGTTGACGGCTCTTCGCGGTGTCGTCTAGATTTGAGACATGCGTCATAGAACACAATTTCGGCACTATAAAAGCCAGCGGTGCTTGAGAAAGTTCAGTCAGTGTTCACTTAAGCATTTCAGTATTAAGTATAACGACCTTTAGTTCTGTCTTTGAATAGGATGTCTGGTGAGTGAATCGAATCGAAGTGGAGCGAATTGTCGATCCTCATTGCAAATTGTTTTTATTGAATTGAATTGAAATTCGTGGCAGGCATTTATCTATTGGCATGCATGCTGTGCCTGGCCGTTGGCAGCAGCCTCGGCGTGATCCTGGAGGGCAACTACAATGTGACTTCGGTGTGCACATTGGTCAAGGCGGGCACACAGCTGGGCAGCATTGTGTCGTGCGACTATTATTATGTGTGCACCCCGAACGGACCCGTGCAGACCTATTGCCAGAAGGGCTACTCGTATGACTATAAGGCCCAAACCTGCAGCCCATCGTCTCAGGTGCAGTGCTATTATGGCTCACAAGAGCCCTGCGCTGAAGTCACCGGCGAGGGCTGGGTACCAGTTGCCAACACCTGCAATCAGTGGATCTACTGCAAAAACGGCGTAGCCGGCGGCCGCGGCACTTGCGGTGATCTGACCTTCAGTGTGCAGTTGCAGCGATGCACTGCTGAGAAGTGTAATGTCTTAGCCGGAAGCGAGGGAGTGACTCTTAACAACATCTGCCAGGTGGTGCCACCTAATATTTACTTTGGCGATCCCTTCAATTGCACCAAGTACCAGTATTGCTACCCAGATGGCAGTTACGCATCCGGTGATTGCACCACGACTGTAAGTTGAAAGTTATTTGATATAAAACTGCAGATGTATACGAAAATTTTGCACTTTTGAGAAGCTAAAATCACAAAATGAGCCCAAAGATAGCGTATACGAATGCTCCGATTTCCCAATGGCTACCTAAGTTCGCTTGCCATATCAGAAAAATATTTATATATAATTTTTTTTTATTTTTTACAGGCTTTCATTGTATCATCTCAACAATGCGGGTATGATACAAACGGGGCCTGCGATCGCATTCAACAAGGAGGATTATCCGAATCTTGCGATAAAGTCGGCGAAATCAGGGGCGATCCAAACGTGTGCGGCAACTATCAAGTTTGCAATGGCAATACCTATGATCTGAAGAGCTGTCCCAGTGGCCAGTACTTTAATGTTGCGACAACCAGCTGCTTGCCTCGTCTGCAGGCAGTACCAGAACCGGGCTGCAATCGTTGCCAGTACGCGACAACAACGTTTGTGAATGCTATCAGCAATGATAACTGCAATACCTACTACTACTGCAGCAATGGCGTCAACGGCAATGTTACCACATGCCCAGAAAATTTCTTCTTTAACGAACTTCAGCAGGGCTGCGTCCCATATCGTGGTCTGCAAAACTATGGCACCGTCTATCCTGCTTGCGCTGGCGCCGTTGCTCCAGCGACGACCCCTGCACCGCCAACATCAACAGTCGATCCAAATGCCCCAACCGAATCAACTGGCACAACCGATCCAGATGTCAAAACAGAATCAACTGCCACACCCGATCCAGAGGCCATAACAAAATCAACTGTCACAACAGAATCCGGATAATAAGATTTAGGCAAGCTAACAATTGTGACAAACGCTGAGAAGACGCTCTGTATGGATATCTTTTAAATCTTCAGTACTAACCCAAAAATAACCATAAAATTATTTCAATAAAGCAAGCAATACAAAATATTCAATGCAAGAATTTGTAGTTTCTTAAATTTTTTTTATTAACTCATTTTTTATTTACATCAAGAAAACAGAATATAAAAAGAATGTTTTATACTTCTATAAAATTTTATTTAATTTTTTAAGATTCAAGTTTCTATATTAATCACTCTAATGATTATCAGTGAAGATTGTTTTTTTTATTATTATTATTTCATTTATTTTTTATTTTTATTTTTTTATTTATTTATTTATTTTTTTTTTTGCATTAACATTACTTTTGGACCACTCTACTTCAGATCTTATTTATTTATTTTCTATATGTAAATTTATTTTTTTATTTGTAATTCTTCTTTTTTAGGTTTACCAGTATTTATTGATATTATTTGATGTGCATTTTTCGGACTACAATTTTTTTCTTAAATATGTTAAATATATTGCAATCATTACAAAGATCACGAAGAAAATAAAAAAATAGGAGTATCAAAATTCGGCTGG